GGCACGACACCTGGGGCAGGGGAGAAAGAGAACGGCAGAGAGTTACGAGCGCGGCTGCCGAGGGAGTTAAATCAGAGGTAAAAAGCTGCTTTTTTAGGCTGCGCCCGCAGGCGTTTGGAAGACCAACACAAAAATACCACGCGCTATCAACGACGCGGCAGACGATTAGATGGGAGGTGCCTTCCCCATCTGCTCCCTTCCCCTGCCCACCCCCAGACCTCGCCACTGCCGGGGATGGAGCCTCTCCTCTCCGCCCCGTCTGAGGTTTTGTGAACCTCCAGTGCCACCGAACTTCCACTTTTGGACGCCCTCCCCTGACCTCCTCGCTCTGGTTTAACCAGAAAACGTCTCGCCGCCGGTGCGTTAGGAGCGCGGTGAAGCAATCGCGCTCGCACGCCGCCGGCAGAAGCGCTGCCGGGAAACCTCAAGCTCTTGGGGCTGACTGAACGTCACGGATTTGTGCTTTTCTGGGAAGCCTTCATCTCTCCCGACGCTTCTGCCGTTAACGCTCTCCTCTTCCACCACCTGGCTACAACCCGCTCGTGCCACAGCCAGCCATATTGCAGCAAGCTCCTCCACTTGCTTTCTCCCCTTCACAACGCGCCCGGTCGAGTCTCCCTTTCCTTCCAACCTGCCAGAGTCGAGAGCAGAAACCTGATTCCAGTGCCCCGAACAGGTTTGATATCCCAACCCCCATCCCAGCCAGAAGGAAAGAAAACAGGTTGTAATTAGACAAGTGCATTCCAGTTCTCCAAACTTCTTTTTTTAAATGCGTGCCCCAGAGATAGGAGGGAGTGGCTGCAAACAGGGAAAAGGAACAGCAGTGAGCAATATTGAGCTGGAACTGCCCAGACTCGTCGCTGCAAGTAATTATAGATTCGCAGCGCAGCTCCGTACTACATCTTCCACCCCCACGCTTTGGCTACGGGCTCCTGGCGAACACACTTCCCCCTCCGCGCTGCCACAAAGCCAGCCTGTCCCACACAGGTGAAGCAGAACGCCTTTATGGAGATCTCTCTTCTCCCAGCCCCGTTTCGGGGTTGCTCTTTGCTCAGAGGACAAAGCCTCCTGCCAGGCTGGGGCTGCCCAGGGCCGGGGAGGGACGCAGGTCGCTCCAACCGCCGAGCGCTCGCCGCAGTACGGAGGCACAGCCTACACGAGCAGCGGCGAGAAGCGCTCTTGCCCACACGTAACCTGTTTTTCTCAGCCGCCGGGGTTTCGGAGTCAACATTCAAACCCCACTTTCCCCTGCCCTCTCCCTGCCAGACGGATCTTCAAGGCTTGCCCCGGGGCGCTCCTCACGAGGTGAGAACTCGGCGCTCCGCACTGTAAGAAAGGCCGGTCCAGGCGCCTCCGCGCTCTCTTTGCCGCGCAGAGTTCGCAGCCTCGGCCCTCGCTCTAATGACTTCCAGAAGGGGTGGTGTTTTTTTTTT